GGCATGACTCAAAATGAGAAGAAACAGCTGCAAATAAGCATTCATAATCGGAACGTGGAATATACAGAGTATGAATCAAGGAAAATTGGAAGTTGTCAAAAATGAAGTGGAATGCATAAAATCCATATCCTAGGCATTAGTGAGCTGAAATGGACTGCTACTGGCCATTTTGAATCAGACTATCATATGGTCTACTATACCAGGAATGACAAATTGAAGAGGAATGGCATCGCATTCATTGTTGAAAAGAACATTTCAAGATCTATCCTGAAGTACAACACCATCAGTGATAGGATAATATCCATACGCCCACAAGGAAGACCAGTTAATATGATTATTACTCAAATTTATGCACCAACCACTAAGGCCAAAGATGAATCGAAGAGTTTTATCAACTGCTGCAGTCTGAAATTGATCAAACATGCAATCAAGATGCATTGATAATTACTGGTGATTGGGATGCTCAAGTTGGAAACAAAGAAGGATCAGTAGGTGGAAAATATGGCCTTGGTGATACAAACGATGCCAGAGATTGCGTGATAGAATTTTGCAAGACCAACGGCTTATTCATAGCAAATACCTTTTTTTTTTAACAACATAAACAACAGGAAAAAACAGGAATGAAATAGACTACATCCGTAGAAAGAGACAATGGAGAAACTCAATATCATAAGACAGAACAAGGCCAGGGGCTGGCTGTGAGACAGATCATTAACTGCTCATATGCAAGTTCAAGTAGAAGCTGAAGAAAATTAGAACAAGTCCACGAGAGCCAAAGTACGATCTTAAGTATATCCCACCTGAATTTACAGACCATCTTAAGAATAGATTTGACGCATCAAACTAATCACCAAAGACCAGACGAGTTGTGGGATGACATCATACATGAAGAAAGCAAGAGGTCATTAAAAAGACAGGAAAGATAAAAAAGACCAAAATGGATGTCAGAAGAGACTCTGAAACTTGCTTTTGAACATAGATCAGATAAAACAAAAGGAAGAAATAATGAAGCATAAAGCTGAACAGAAGATTTCAAAGAGCAGCTCGACAAGACAAACTAAAGTACTAAAACGAAATATGCAAAGACTTGGGGTTAGAAAACCAAAATGGAAGAACGCACTTGGCATTTCTCAAGCTGAAAGAACTGAAGAAAAAATTCAAGCCTTGGATTGCCAATACTGAAGGATTCTATGGATAAAAAATTGAACAATGCAGGAAGCATCAAAAGAAGATTGAAGGAATACACAGAGTCATTGTATCCAAAAGAACTGGTCGACGGTCAACCATTTCAGGAGGTAGCATATGATCAAGAACTAATGGTACTGAATGAAGAAGTCCAAGCTGTACTGAAGGCATTAATAAAAAAAATAATAAAAAAATAAAAAAAACAAGTCTCCAGGAATTGATGGAATACCAATTGAAATGTTTCAACAAATGGATGCAACACTGAAGTGCTCACTTGTCTATGCCAAGAAATCTGGGAGACAGCTACCTGGCCAACAAACTGGAAGAGATCCATATTCTTGGCCATTCCAAAGAGAAGTGATCCAACAGAATGTGGAAATTCAAACAATACCATTAATATCACATGCAGGTATCACATGTAGACAGATCTCGGGTGAAAGCAGAGAATACCAGAAAGAAACAGAGAAACACAGAAATACCTGTGTTTTATTGATTATGCAAAGGCATTCGACTGTGTGGGTCATAGCAAATTATGGATAACATTGTGAAGAATGGGAATACCAGAACACTTAACTGTGCTCATGCAGAACCTGTACATACACCAACAGGCAATTGTTTGAACAGAACAAGAGGATACTGCATGGTTTAAAATCAGGGAAGTTGTATGTCAGAGTTGTATCCTTTCATCATACGTATTCAATCTATATGCTAAGCAAATAATCTAAGAAGCTGGACTATGTGAAGAAGAAAGTAGCATCAGAATTGGAGGAAGACTCATTAACAACCTGCTATATGCAGATGACACAACCTTGCTTGCTGAAAGTGAAGAGGACTTGAATCATTTACCACTGAAGATCAAAGACTACAACCTTCAGTATGGATTACACCTTAACATAAAGAAAACAAAAATCCTCACAAGTGGACCAGTAAGCAGCATAATGATAAACAGATAAAATATTGAAGTTATCAAGGATTTCATTTTACTTGGATTCACAATCAACTCCCATGGAAGCAGCAGTCAAGAAATCAAAAGACGTATTGCATTGGGTAAATCTGCTGTAGGAGACCTCTTTAAGGTGTCCAAAAGCAAAGATGTCACCTTGAGGTCTAAGGTGTGCTTGACTCAAGCCACGGTATTTTCAATCACCTTATATGCATGCAAAAGCTGGACCACGAATAAGGAAGACTGAAGAAGAATTGATGCATTTGAATCCTGGTGTTGGTGAAGAATATTGAATATACCATGGACTTCCAGAAGAATGAACAAATCTATCTTGAAAGAAGTACAGCTAGAATGCTCCTCACAAGCGAGGATGGTGGGACTTCATCTCATGTACTTTGGATGTGTTATCAGGAGGGACTAGTCACTGCAGAAGGACATCATGCTTGGTAAAGTAGAGGTTCAGTGAAAAAGAGGAAGACCATCAATGAGATCGACTGACACAGTAGCTTCAACAGTGAGCTCAAATATAGCAACGATTGTGAAGATGGCGCAGTACCAGGCAGTATTTTGTTCCGTTGTGCATGGGGTCACTATGAGTCAAAACTGACTTAATCGCACCTAAAAACACCAATTATTTTCCATATGGGAAAAAAATTGAAATAAATTCCCAATTGGATTAACCACCAAATTGTAAAGTGCAAAGCTAAAATTAATACTCCCTTTAAACTTAGGCAAGAGTGCCTTTGCCGTGGGACCATGATTTAAAGGTCCTTGCTCTGGCCCTTCTCTGACCAACTCTCTCCCACAGGGGAAGGGGTCTGCAGGGCCAAGATGACACATCTACTTGCAGCCCACGCATTCTCTTTTAGACTGGGCTCCAGATACTCAGGACCTGGAATACCCTGCTCAAATGGCTGCAAGCCAGCTTCCACAACTGCACAGGCCTCTTCCCTAGTGTCTGGAGAGTGAACTGTGCCACAGATGAGCACACACTTAGGCCCCAAAGATGGCTAAGGAGCGGTTATTGTGGGGTGGGGATGGAAGTCAGACATATGAGCTAGGGTACCCACCTGTGGGCATGTGACACCTTTTGTTGTATAGGAGAGAGCCAGGATGAGAAGAGAAGGGCAGAGACCCCCAGACTCAGGACTCAGGGAGGGGGGTTCTGGCCAAGCCTCTATTTTTCAATGCAGAACTCTATTAGAAGTCTAAGATTTCTAAATTCCAACCTAGCCTTCCCGTCATTATGAAGATTTATTTGTCAAGAAGGGCAGATAGAGTACATCCTACTTTATTTTACAGTCTGTTAGCTATATTTTTAACCTTTTAAATATTAGACATATAGTATATGGGTCTCAGTTCGAACTCTTGCTCTGGGTCCTGGCTATAATCTTCTTACAATACTATCTGAGGCACACTACAGCCCACAAGACAAATCCAGTTCTCTCCCTATTTTTGTAAATAAAGTTTTATTGGACCATAGCCACGCCATTAATTTACATATTGCCTATAACTGCTTTCACACTACAACAGCAGAGATGAACAGAAATCATATGGCTCATAAAGCATAAAATCTTTACTTATATGGCCCGTCAAAGAAAAACAAACAACTGCCGACCTCTGATCTAGGATAACAATTTAACCTTGGAACAGGAGAAAAGTTTAAAATAAGGCACAAAGAGTAAAAATTACAAAATGGATTGATGAATTTATCTACATTAAAATTAAGAACACAAGCTCATCAAAAAACACCATGAAGTGGAACACAAGCTACACACTGGGATCCGATATCTTTAACACTTGTAACTGATAAAAAACTAGTATCCAAAATAGAAAGAATTCCTGTAATCAATAAGAGAAAGTCAAACAACCCATTTAAAAATGGGCAAATGTCAAGGACAGACATTTCATGGAAAAGGAATCAAGTATTGCAATGACAAATATGAAAAGATGGCCTAATGCATTAGAATCAAGGAAATACAATTAAAACCACAATGTGGTACCATTTGACACCTAAAAGATTTTCAAAATTTAAAAAATCAGATGTGGAGCAATAGGAACTCTCATCAACTCCTGGAGGGGATTTAAATTGGTCTAACCACTTGAGAAAAGTTAGCCATTACCAGTAAAGAAGAACATATGCACATCCTACAACCTATCAATTTCAAAATTAGGTATGAAAACTAAATACGAACTCTTGATACATGAACGCCAAAAGATATGTACACAATTGTTTATAGCAGCATATTTTCTAGTACAGGGGAAAAAAACAAAACAAAACAAAAACAAGAACTTCAGACAACACATACATACATTAACAGAGGACTGGGTAAGTACATTATGGTATATTCACACTGTGGGCTACCACGCAGAAATGAAAACTAATGAAACACAGCCATACACATTAATATGGATAAATTGATATAACAAAATGTTTAGTGTAAGATGCATGTATTCCATTAATATAAAGTTCAAAAACAGCAAAATTACACAACATATTATCTAGTGACACATATATGTAGTCTTAAAACAACAAAGAAGAGCAAGGGAATTATTACCCCCAAATCCTGGATCAAGGCAGAGGTGGAGGGGTGCAATCTGAGAGGGATACACAGGTGTTTCTAAAGTACTAGAAATGTTTTCTTTTTTCATATCAGGTACACTGATGATTATTACTTTTCTTCAATTTGTACATAGATTTATATACACTCTTTTGTGTGCATGATGTAATATTTAAAAAAACTCACAAAATTTTAAAATTGCAATAAAAACTTGAAATGTTTCATATGAGTCTACTTAAGATTCAGGCCAGTTAAAACAGGGTATTTTTATTGTCATATAAAGATATATAAGTTTCTAAATGAACCCTTACCCTGTGCAGCTTTTTCAACATTTCTAGGAGAGGTTTCATATGATAGTGATTCTCAGCACTTCCAGTCCGATGATTCATTTGAGAGATGATGGCTGTTTTAAGCATCTGGACCAGTTTACTAAAAGTGGATTCTTCCAAAGATGCCCAATACTTTTCTGAGGGATACAAAGAAGGTGAATATAACTGTTAGGGAATATATATAAACAATGTAGTTTCTCTTAAATTTTTTTTTTTTTTTTAAAGAAAAGCAAATATTTAATATGCAATTTTTTATATTAAAAGATGTTCTACCTTGCTTATTTTTAAAAATTCTATTGTGATTTGGGTGAAAGTTTACAGCACAAATTAGTGTCTCATTAAAAAACTTATACACAAATTGTTTTGTGACATTGGTTGCAATATGTCAGCACTCTCCGCTTTCCCTTTCCACCCTGGGTTCTCCGTGTCCATTTGTCCAGTTTTCCTGTCCCTTCCTGACTTTTCACCTTTGCTTTTGGGCAGGTGTTGCCCATTTGATTGAACTAAGAAGCACGTTCCTCATATGTGTTATTGTTGGTTTTGTAGGCCTTTCTAATCTTTGGCTGAAACGTGGACTTCGGGAGTGGCTTCAGTTCTGAGTTAGCAGGGTGTCCGGGGGCCATAGACTCTCGGGTTCCTCCAGTCTCTGTCAGACCAGTAAATCTAGTCTTTTTTTGTGAGTTTGAATTTTGTTCTACATTTTTCTCCCGTTAAATTCTTGATAAAAAAAGATCAATATTTTCCAACATTGATGAAAAGATATTTAAAATATATATCACAATTACAATACCACATTTGTAATAAATTCTTTAGTAAATAAATATACTTGGTATTAAATGTTTAGAATGTAATGTCCTGGGGAAAAAACCCCTTTACAGTTAATACACCCACAAACTTGATTTAATTCATTTGTGAAAAAAATACAAAGACAAAATTAATCATATTCTTTGTCCAGATGGGATAACATACTGTATTAAAAACTAGATTAAGAATTGTTCGTGATTGCTTTTTTTGTGTATACTCCCAGCTTAAGCGTTCAACTCTTAAAAATCATCTTTCAGCATTGTCAAAAACAAAAAGCACTTTAAAATAGCTTTTCATCATTTACAATGCTATCTAGATTTAATAAAACATAAGAGTGGGCTTCCTTGGGCTAAATACGCTTTGTATGTAAAAAATCTCATGATCAAATTAAGCCTCTGAGACTTAACTTCCAGTATACTGCAAATATAGGTAATGGAAGAAACAAATGGACAGATCTGGGACATACTACAAGACAATGGATTTGGACTCTTTTTAAAAAAAAGTTATAAAAAACTTTTTGGGACAAATGGGGAAATCTGAGTGTGGCCCCGATATTAGATAATATTAAGGAATTGCTGCTAATTTTCTTAGGTATGGTAATGATGTCATGGTAATGTAGGACTCTGTATCCTTAGGAGATGTATGCTGAAGCATGAGGGGTGAAATCTTCAACTTCCAAATAGTTCAGGAAAAATAAAATATAATCTACACATAAAGGGAGACAAGGCACATATGACAACGTTACTACTCGAATCTAAGGCAGAGGGTGTATGGGTGTTCACTGGACTCTTTTCTCAAGTTCTCTGTATGTCTGAAATTTTTCATAATGAAAAGATGGGGACAAAAGACCTCATGACCAAGCAATGTATGTTTCATTCCAAGAACTCTAAAAAATTACTAAAACAATCCATTTCAGATGACCACAGTAATTATTACAGCCTCTTTAGACTATGCTAAGAATATGAACTAAAAATATGAATGAATTTACAATTATTTAAGTTAGTTTTGCTATAATTTTTATTACAAGGCAAAGTATTTGTCTTTCCAAAATATTTTCAAATGTAAATAATCAATCTTACCCAGAACCCCTGAAGACTGGTCGCTGATTTTACAAACAATCTCTGCAAATGGAACCACCAGGCTCTCCCAGTTGTTAGAATCCTGCATCACAGGACATTCTGGGAGCAGGAGGAAAACTTCTAAAGCTTCTTGGTGCGGAGAACGCAGTGGGAGATTTTTGAGCAGGTTGTCCCGGAGACATGTGGTTATCTGTGGTCAAAAAGATGAGGGGGTGGGGAAGCATTCAAAACACAGCAGGTATTCCCTGGGTGAATTTACTGTGATAAAACAAGGTACAGCCTGGAGTTTCATTCCACCATGAGATTAGAATAATCATTTAGTTTTTCTGAAGCCCATGTTTAAACTCCATCTCACCTAGCTTCCCAGATGTTTAAGGAATTAGTTCCCTAGAGCTGCTATAACAGAAATACCATAAACGTATGGCTTTAACAAACAGAAATTTATTTTCTCACAGTTTAGGAGGCTAGAAGTCTGAATTCAGGGCGCTAGCTCTATGGGAAGCCTCTCTCTCTATTGGCTCTGAAGGAAGGTCCTTGTCTTTTCAGCTGCTTCTGTTTCATGGTTCCTTGGAGCTCTCCATGTGGCTTGGCATCTATCTTCCCTCATTTCTGCTTGCTCCTTTTATGTCTTGTGAGGGACTGACTCAAGACACACCCTACACTAGTCCTGCCTCATTAACATAATAACAGACAATTCATTCCCAAATGTGATTATAACCACAGGCATAGAGGTCTGGGTTTACAACACATATTTTGGGGGGACATAATTCAATCCATAATAGGTAGCATTTCCCATTTAATTGTTGGGGTGCATGAAGGAGATCAAGAAGCAATCACATGTGCAAGGATTACACTGGCCTGGTTTCAGAAGTAGTAACAGTCCTCCCAATATTAAGTACTATCTTCTACCCTCTGGTGTGCACTATCACACCTGATGATTTTTAAAGAGGAAGAATGTATCAGAAGAAAAATTAAAAAACAAAAACAATAAAAACCACCACAACAAAAATCAGCATGGTTTCTTATTATCTTCTCATATGACCACCAGTCTTATCACAAACTCAAACCACCACAAACCCTAGTTTCTAGTCCTTCCAATCTCCTTGTAGTTTCCCCAATTCATAATGCAACTGTTGAGGAAAAAAAATAAAATGGAATTCTGAGTTTTTATCTGGCATATGTGCTCAGAAGGAGTCCTGGTGGTGCAGTGGTTAAAGTGCTTGGCTGCTAGCCGATCTGTGGAAGAAAGATGTGGCAATCTGCTTCCATAAAGATTACAGCCTTGGAAACCCTATGGGGCAATTCCACTCTATCCTTTAGGGTCGCTATGAGTCAGAATCGACTTGACGGCAGCGGGTTTCGGTTTGTGTGCTCAGATAGTAATAATAATTTTTTTAAAACCCACTAAGAACATAAACTAGTATTTATGGAGTACTTATTATTTGTCAATTATTGAACTAAGTAATTTACACATATTAAAATCAAGCCAAACTCGTTGCTGTCGAGTCAATTGCAACTCACAGTGAACCTACAGGACAGAGTAGAACTGCCCCATAAGGTTTCCAAGGGGCACCTGGTGGATTCAAACTGCCGACATTTTGGTGTTATATATATTTATAGCTTTATAGCATAAATGATTTATTGACACCATTTTACAGATGAGGAATTTGTACCTCAGAGAAATTAAGCAAGTTGCTCAAAATCACATAGCTAAATAGGAGCCCCGGATTCGACTCTAAAGCCCACTCTTAATCAGGAAATTATAATGGAATATTGGCTAAATGATATATCTCTAAACGTAGAAATTCTTATCTCTTTTTTTATATCCAAACATTATATTGGGCTCCTACTACAAGGCTCAGTCCTTGGAATTATATATATCTGACCACTCTATTTTAACACATCTCAATGGCACACAGCCCTCTTTGCTCATCATTAGCCATACCTCCAAACTTCCTACCTGCAACCCACAAACCCTTTAGTGATACTGTGATTCTTTCAAGCCAGTTTTGTTATTCCACAACCGTGCCTTGGCACACAATTTCCTGGCTGGCTGGAATGTCCTTCCCCATGTAGGCACTTGGTGAACTCCTACTTCCTCTAAGTAGTCTGCTCTGAGTACGCTAGGTAAACGTGACATTCACTGTCCTAACGTTGACTGAATTTATTCATTCAAAAATACTTATTGTATACCTAATATGTTCTAAGCTAGGCACTAGGGAAGAGAGCAGAGTGTAAAACACCCAGTCTTGTACTCAGACCTGCACTTACATGTCTCTCTAACTCATTAAACCATGAGCTTCTAAAGGACAGGGCACGTCTCCCTTCATTGTTCATTAAGAGTCTTCATTACAGTGCCCAGGGTATAGTGAGTATTCAAATGTTTGCTGAATAAATGAATGAATTCCAATTCTGTGAATCCATATCACAGAATCTCAAGGTAGAAGGAAACTTTCCATATCTTGTAATCCAACTATCCCCCTCTGAAGTGATAGAAGATTGCCCTATGATTATGTCACTTGAACATTACATGTTATTTTTCTGGTACAACCAAGGTAAAATTACTAGCAGAAAGGGACCTCAGTGATGAACTGATTCAACCTCTTCCCTTCGTAAAGGTAGAGATGACTTTCTATTTTTGATGATCTTTCCATGGCTGTGCACTTAACAATGACTCAGAATCTTACTGAAAGTTAAAATTGGCCCTGACAGGGGGATTTTAAATAATCAATAGAAAATGAGCAAGAACAAATGCTGACAAAATAGTCCATAGGACAGTTCTTGGGTTCTGTTATAGGCAGCACTAAGTGCGGCAGAGCCCTGATGAAGGTGTTCATCTAACTCTGTCATGACCCTGCATAATTAGGAATCCACTTTTACCTCAGGTCCTTATTGAACTATAGTTCTGCCAAAGTTAGCAGAATTGAACTTTCCATCTCTCCTTGACAGAAAGGAATGTGTGTGAGAGAGAACTTGCAGCTAAGATACAGAATGCTATCTATGGCAGACAGAGCAGGAGAACTGGTGAGGGAGCTGAAAGGAGGAGAGTTAGAACACCGGGAGAGAGATAAGAGCAAGACTGAGAAAGAAAGAGAATAAGAGATATAGAAACAGAGAGGGAAGGTAAGGAGCAGGGAAGTAGGGGGTGAGAGAGAGAAGAAAAAGAAGGTACCAGAGTGAGACCCAGAAAGAAACAGATTGTGAGAAGAACATTGAAGTATCCCTAGAAAAAGCAGCCCAATAGGATAGAGAAATAAATTAATAAGGGTTGTATTAAGAAAGGCTAAATTAATAAAGAAAGCATGTTTGGAGAATCTGCAGATATAAAACCAAAAAACAGTAATAATGATACTGAAACAAGGAAACAACTGTGCCAGAAAGAACAAGAACATTCCGGAACCTACAGAAAAGGAAAAAGTGCAGTGGAAGAACCCAGGCACTTCCTTGGTGAGGTGGATGTTCATATCAAAAAAAGTATCTTCAAATCTGTATTTATGCTTAAAATAACTGCATATAAAATGTTGTTCTTATTCTATTGTGCCAGTCTCATCAAATCCTTTCATCATCTTCCTAAAGCCGAGTTGAAAAGATTCCCTCTAGTATAACGTGTGTGAGTGCATGTATATGTCTGTACAAATGAACTATTTAGACTATTTGTAACCTGTATTAATACAACACCAACTCTTTTACCCTATGGCATACTCCTGAATGATGAGTTTTACTTAATCTGTATATGCTACAGGTCTCAGAGAATCTCTTAAAACAAAATATTTCTTCTGAAATGTTCTAGTGTATTTTCTTCTTCGAATGACAATGTGAAGAATATTACCATGTTAGCAATCCAGTGCTTCTGGGTTAACTCCTGGAAGGTGTTTCTTGCTTTATTTAAGTCCAAAGGAATAGACATTGTTTCCGCAGCTATTCTGCAGAAACAAGATAAGTATATAAGTGGATAGACAAATAAATGAAAACCAACACTTCTAAATTAAGTACATTATTTAATTATATTATACTATCTATCTAAATACAAAATTTCTTCTAAATTTTGCTTCATTTCAATAAAATTACTCTTTCTCTTAACTTTACTGGAACTATAATAATTTGGCCAAATATAAATACAGCTGAAAATATAGTATACAACAAATGATGATTTCTAAAATGCCAAAAATATCAAAGTTGCACTAATATATATATATGCGTGTATGTGTGTGTGCATGTATACTAGGCCCTGGAGGCACACTGATTAAAGCATTTGGCTGCTAACTGAAAGGTCAGTGGTTTGAATTCACCAGCCACTACGTGGGAGAAAGATGTGGTAGTCTGCTTCTGCAAAGATTTACAGTCTTGGAAACCCTATGGGGCAGTTCTACCACAGGGTCGCTATGAGTTCTACTATAAGGTTGCTATGAATCGACTTGATGGCAGTGGGTTTATATATATATATATACATGGAGCCCTGGTAGCATAGTGGTTAAGAGCTCGACTGCTAACCAAAAGATCAACAGTTCGAATCCACCAGCCGCTCCTTGGAAACCCTATGAGGCAGTTCTACTCTGTCCTATAGGGTCGCTAGGAGTTGAAATCAACTCGATGGCAATGGGCTTGGATATATGTATCTATCTATCTGTCTATATATATATACCATCAGATGTTAACTCAGATATTGCCTTATCTAAAGTGGATAATTAATAAGTATTTGTTATCCAGTAAAAGAAATTGTCACAGAACAAAAAGTAAAAATATGACCATTTCTTTTAATTGCATGAATTGAAAGTGTGGACCAAAAGAAGGGGCTTCAGAGGACACAAGCTAGGTTAAAATGAATTATAAATTCTTAGTATTCCAACAGAAAATTATCAATGCAATGTATAAATATCTTAACTTATGAATGATGTTTATGCTGAACTGAACATATTCACTACCTAGAAAAGAAACATTTTTGTAAAACTACATGTATTTAGTGACCAAAAATAGGAAAATTCTTTTCTTTTAAAGAAATGAACATAATATTATGCAAAATTTTAGAAAAAATACAAAGTAGTTCTTTCATAGTAGTTCTTTCATATTTCTATCAAATTGAAAGAAACCTTAATATCTAGCAGTCAGGAAATTATTAAATAAATTAAGGTATGTCATTCCTATGGGATATCTTATAGCCATTAAAATGATGTAATAGACACATATTGAATAATATGGAAAATGGATAATTAATGTAAAGACAGATATAAAACAGTATGATCCCACTTTTTGTAAAACAACACATTTACCTAGAAAAAGGATATATAAACAAATGCTAGCTATTACTCTTAAGTAACGGATTAAGTGATTTTCATTTTCTTCTTGCTACTTGTATTTAATTTTGACATTTTCTCCAGTGATTATCTATTTGCTTTTGTAAAAAAAGAAAATGAAAGTACATTTAAAAAGGAAATAATTATTCTACCCTTGAAAAATAACACCCGAACTGAACATATTATCCAAAAACAGAAGCTTTTTGTAAAACATTATAAGTGTTTCACAGTATTTTCAACAGAATTTTATTTTATGTATTACCTTTTCTTTAAAAAACTTCCAGTCAGACAAGCAGGAGATGAAAATATTTCTCTGATTTCCCTACATAAGAAATAAGACAGTGGTTAAAATAAATCAAATCATACAGTATGCCTCCTAATACCATGAGACATGATAAGTAAAACATCTCATAACTGTTCTCCAAACTTCTCCGTATCTCCTATTTGTCTGCATCTAAAAAGTCTATTTCATTTGCTAAATCTCAAAATTTTAGTGGCAAACATGAGAAATAAAAATATATACCCAGAGAAGCTGCAGAGAAAGAACAAAAGGCTTGACCTAGGGTCATCATTTTCATGGGCAGTTAAACACTCCCACCCACCCAACTTCCCAGCCCCTATTTATATCTGTTTGGTAGCCCTGAAGTAGAAACAAAAACAACACACCCAAAAATTAAGTGGGGGACAGGTGGGGATTGGTTATATTCAGTTTCATCTTAGAAGTAAATTCCACAGATAGTTCTTGATCATTTATGCTCTGCAAATTACAATGTGCAACTATTTTCCAGAATTAGAAAGCCATACCTAAAAATATGTCTAAAAGATGTTTATGAATATAATCTTTGCAGGTGGTAGGCATTCTATGGTTTAGAGAAGGGTTGGCCAGACTATTCAGCTGTGAACAGCAGATGTACAAACAAGTGGTTCCATAGTCAAACAGGGTTAGAAACACTGTAGACTACATTTCCTTCTCAGAGAGTTATACATAAACACATGAAAGGCCCAGAGAAGTACAGCAGTAAAGAAAGCTATCCTCTTGGAGTTACATGCTAGTGGACCACAGAACCTCACGTCTCTGTATTTTGCAGAACCAGTTTGCGAAACACTACTTTAGAGAGACACATAGGCATGGGATGAACCTTTTTGTGCTCTGCCACTGTTTAGTCCCCACATCAGCAAGCCATCTCTTTATGGTCCCTTCATTCAATGTAGGAATTTTCCTCCTCAGATTAACATAGGAATTCTGTAAACAAATAAAAAAAGTAAAATAGAATAATGGAAACACAGCATAGCTAAGTACCCAACTTTTGAACACATTCTAAGAATACAGGGTAACATTGTTTTTAAGTATGGATAATATAGCTTTGGGGCAATCATAAAGTGAGATCCTACCAAGGAATAATCGATCATTTGCCTGTTTGCCAACTTCTTGTCCATGGGGGCTTGCTTAGACCCAAAATCAATTTCTCTGAGTGGCCTAACACTCACTATTTTAAACAAGATAAAATCAGATTAAATTGAACACTGGACAGTCCTGACAGAGAGATCCTAAGAGGGCTGTGTAGAGAAGGGAAAGGAACTCACTTTGTCCTGGTGGAGTAGGGCATGGACGTTATGTACTGTTTATATGAAAGCCCATGAACCTCAGGCCTTTTATTAGCACGGGCTGGCAAAGCTATGTCAGAATCTGTCCACCTGTTGGTTCTCTAGGACACTGACTAAATGCCATTGGCAAGGAACCCTCCCTGCACCCCTCCCCCACCAAAAAAAGGTAAGTAGAGTCTAAGGAAATCACTGATTCAACATCCACTAGGGACAACTGGGCTGATTTTTGTGGGTAAACAATTAGACAATAAAGGATCAAGAATGACCAGCTATTCTAAAGACTCAGCCTCATAACCTGATGTTTTTGGAATTCACCAAACCTGGATTGTGGAAACTTTTATTTTGTTTAAAACACCAAGTTATAGAACATCTTCTTGTTCTCGTTGGTGGCCGTCGAATCAATTCTGACTCATAGTGACCCCATGTGTGCAGAGTAGAACTGCTCCGTAGAGTCTTCAAGGCTGACCTTTTGGAAGCAAATCGCCAGACCTGTCTCCTGAGGCATCTCTGGGTGGTTTCGAACCACCAACCTTCCAGTTAGTAGTCAAACACTAACTGTTTGCGCAACCCAGCTGCCTCATAGAGCATCCAGAAATCTACTTTTACCTCTTTTTCCATCCAGAGCAAAATGCTTTGATTCCCTCCAGCAATCATTATTAACTTCTTTTCTGAGGTGTGGTTTTCTGCAAGAGATGTATAAAAAGTAAGAGTTTAGACTCAACGTTGTGAAAATGACAATTCTCCCAGAACCAATTAACAAATACAATGCTATCCCTATCCAAATACCAACAACATTCTTCAAAGAGATGGAAAAACTAATCATTAACTTTATATGAAAGGGAAGAAGCCCCAAGTAAGTAAAGCACTACTGAAGAAGAAGAATAAAGTTGGAGGACTCACACTACCTGACCTCAGAACCTACTATACAGCTACAGTAGTCGAAACAGCCTGGTACTGGGACAACGACAGATACATTGACCAATGGAACAGAATTGAGAGCTCAGATGTAAATCCATCCATCTACAGTCATCTGATCTTCAACAAGGGCCCAAAGTCCATCAAATGGGGAAAAGACAGTCTTTTCAACAAATGGTGCTGGCAAAACTGGATAGCCATCTGCAAAAAAATGAAACAGGACCCATACCTAACACTATATACAAAAACTAATTCAAAATGGATCAAAGACCTAAATATAAAGCCAAAAACTATATAAAGTTCATTGAAGAAAAAATAGGACCAATGCTACAGGCCCTAATACATGGCATTAACAGGACACAAACCATAACCATCAACACACAAACCCCAGAAGATAAGCTAGATAACCGGGATCTTCTAAAAATCAAACACCTATGCTCTTCAAAAGACTTCACCAAAAGAGTAAAAAGAGAACCTACAGACTGGGAAAAAATT